GGCTGCCCGCGCGGCCCGCCCCCGCCGGCCTCTCATTGGAGGCGGAGCCGGGAGGGCGGGGCGCCCGCGGAGGCGGCCGTCCATCATTGGGCGGGGCCGCACGTCGAGTCGCCTGAGTGGCAGGAGGCTGCTGCGGAGGGGAGGGGTATGAGAAAGTGCAGGCGCTCTCTCCTGGCCGCCTCAGCCAGCAAGGTTCCCAGGCCTGTCTAGTACCTGGGAGCCAGTGAGGACCGCCAGGCTTCCTGGATGCTGAGAGAGGGAGAATGTGCGCGCCAGGCACTAGGAGGTGATGGACTTCACCTGTGTCCCCAAGGCACAAGTGTCTCTCCTCGCTGATGGCACGCTCTTGGGCAGGGTTGGAAATCCAAGACCAGACATGGGTTGTGCCTGGTGTTTCCCATGACCTACATACATCTTGGGGTAGGAGGATGTCCACTGATGGACAAATGAAGAGGTTATTAAAAGATTTCGGAGTAAGGCAAAACACTTCCAGTGTACATCATCGCGATACGGAATTAGTTCTAGGTGTCCACCCATCCCGTGGAGAATTTACTCAAACTTGGCGGGGAGGGGGGGGGGTTCTGAATGAAAGAAGCTAGAAGATACCTAACTTCAGTTGCTCTGATGTTCTCTTATTTTAAGGCGTCTCTTTTTCGCTGTAAGAATGTTGCTGAACTACTTTATGTCTGCCCCACCATTATTCAAATGAGAATCACCAATGGGGGAAAAATGCATCCTTCCCTTACAGATGGGGCCATGACATATATCTTGCTTACCTCAAATGGAATGAGTCTTCCCTTCGTTGTTGTCTTTTCACAAACAATCCCTTTTCAATTCTCTTTCTAAAGTAATGATCGGACCGACTTTGTCTGCACATAAAATCTTCTGGAAGTGTTTTATGTTCTCTTATTCTGTCCAAAGCTTTCCTTATATATTATTTATTGTGGGGTATTATATTGATTATGTATGACTGTTTGAAAAGTTAACATGCCTCACCATCCACGAAATAACTCACTTCATCTCACAAAAGCACTGAAAACATGGGCCTAAAGGAACTGATATTTGCTTATATAGTTGGGGATATGTGTCTCTTAGTTGTGCTAATGCTGAGACTAAAATTCAAGTCTCAGTAGTGCCTAAGCTTTCGATGGCATGGCTTACCCTACTCTCCTGTATGCTAGATATTTGAAATTGTATGCATCCATCCAATTAGTGTTTATAGATACTGAAAGGGGTCTAGGAACTGGACTTGAAATTGAAGGATCACTGCCAACAAGACAGATACATTGTATTTTCTCTCACAGTGGAGGTACAGATGCCTTCTAAGCAAGGATAGCAAAAGGAACCAGGAAACACGACAAATCATCAGAAACAATAGAAAACTAGCATTAATCCTAATTGTTAGAGTAGTTTGTGAATTTAGTACAATTTCATGATGGACATTATAAAATCAAAACAAATAAGCTACATTGACATTTAGAAACCAAATTTCTTATTGTCCACTTCCAAACAGTATGAGCCACCAAAGACAAACCCGATATTCCCTGGACAGGGGCCCTCCACATTCAGATCCACCTTGTCCCAGTAGGTGACTCCACATCACCATGTCGTGTCCCCTGACTCATTTATAGCTATTTTGTGGCCACCAAAATTGTGTATTAAATATTTTAACAGTAACCTTAGGCTTGAGGACATCTTATGAATACAAATGTAAATAAATTGATAACCTATAAATAAATTATTATTGAAAAGAGTATTTGTGATTATACATAAATAAATCATAACTACTGGTATGCTTCCCTCTTCTGGTGCTAAGAAGAATCAAATCATCTCTTAATTGATTTTCAACCTGAGTTCTAGTCCTGAAGACATTTTAAAATACCATCTTGCTTATTGTACCATTATTTCAAAAGTAGGCTATTATGAGACAACCCCAACTAAAGGCACCCACTATATAGAAAACATTGTGATGAATGTGTAAGCTGTGTATCCAGTCCCTCCACATATCCTGTGAGAAAGGCCAGCATCAAAGACATTTAATCAGACTTATCACACTAGTACAATATACATGTCATTGAATTATTCAATAAAATACGACATTTTTTATTTCTTTAATTGCTTTTTATCTACTTTTTAGATGATGCACTAGCATAGAACTGACTCACAATAACAATCTGGAGAGATGGATCAGCCACCAAGAGGGCTTGTTCCACTTGCAAAGACTAAAGATCTCACCCCCTCATAGCAAACTTCTTATCCCCAAAATGCCTGTAACCCATTTCTATGGTGAACAGAGACAGGCGAGTCACTAGGGCTAACTACCTTTGGGTCTAGCTGAGAAAGATGAACCATATTTTCAGGGAGAGACAATCAGTCAAAGGGATATGTAAAAAATGACAGAGGGAGCACACTGATGGCTTTTTCTATCTGCCCCCTAAACACTGCAGGAGCCTAACTTCACATAGATGCATACACGAGGAGAGAAGAGAGGGAAGAAGAGAGAGGCAGGAGGGAGACAGAGGGAGGGAGGAAGGAAGAATCATGGATTAACCAGATTGTTAACAATTGGTATTTTGCACAGTGATAAGGAGACTGCAGGTCTCCATTCATGTGTGTACTACTTCTTTAGCCTTCTAATGAGTAGGCACATCACCTCGTATAACTGTGAATTGAAATGTTAACTGATTCGTTTTCATTTGCTGAAGAGCCCGGCAGATTCTCATTGGTGAAAAACTTCTGTTTTGATGCTCAGTTTCTTTTAGTTTCATTAAATTCACAAGACACTTATCAGTTCATTTCTCTAATAACTTTCTCAATATATTTTTAAGGTTATAAAAGGGAATGGGGAAGACTGGAAAATGTCCAATATTTACAAACATTTGCTACTCAAGTACGGTATGAATATGCCTCCTCCCCAACACAAATATCAATAAAATCATAAAGCAAAGTACTTTGGGGGGGTTTTGTTTGTTTTGTTTTTGTTTTTGTTTTTTAGAGAAAGCGTTTATTTGTGTAGCCCCTGCTGTTCTGAAACTCTCTTTGTAGACCTGGTTGGCCTTGAACTCAGAGATCTGCCTGCTTCTGCCTCCAGAAAGTGCTGAAATTAAAGGCCTGTGCCACCATCTCCCATCCTAAAGAATTCTTTAAAGAGAATGGAGAATGATAATGTGGCTATACTGACTATCAACAGCAATGATATAATATATATTGCAAAAGGCCTCCCTTTTCAAATCCTATGCTAGCAAAGATTAAGAGAAGTTGGATGAAATAGGACCAAAATATAATGTATTTATGCCTCAAAGAATTAAGAAAAGATTTATTAAAATAATATAATAAAGTATGGAATGAATAGGAAAAGTCATTCATTTATAAAGTGTTTAGAATCAAAATTGGCTGAATGATAATATGTCACAGCACAAGTTAATATTTACAAATTATATCCTAAATATATATGTGCTGGCTTGAAAAATCTCTAAAGTAGGCATGTTATACCTTAAGAGAAACAAGTGTATAATTTAAGCATAGCAGACAAGTGATGTGGGATTCCCCTTTGTATGCTGTGATTACCATTAATTAATAAAGAAACTGCTTTGAGCCTATAGCAAGGCAGAATAGAGCTAGGCAGGGAAAATGAAACTGAATACTGGGAGAAAGAAGGCAGAGTCAGGGGGAAGCCATGTAGCCTCTACCAGGGACAGATGCACCGGAACCTTGTCAGTAAGCCATAGCCATGTGGTGATACACAGATTAATGGAGATGGGTTGGTTTAGGACATAAGAGCAAGCTAGAAGTACACTTAAGCTATTGGTCAAACAGTACTGCAAATAATATAGATTCTGAGTGATTATTTCGTGGTCTGGGTAGCCAGGAATGAACAAGTGGCTTTAGCCTACAGACAAGGGTCAGTAAGAAAAGAGCTGGTAGTTCAATGGTGGCCACTTAGTTGTAATATTGCTATTCTAAACACTCACTGTTTGAGTAAAAAAGCCAAAGAAAAAGCTGTGCTATTTTTTACATGATCTCACTATCTAAGTAGTACATGTCTGGTGTTTAAATCATCTGTTTTTGTGGAACTAACTGAGATGAATCTCTGGAAAGCTACCCCCTTTACCTCTTTGACACGTTATTGTTGGTGCTAATACCAGATTTCTTATGAGTGAAGAGAATGTAGCCATCATTATCACTCCAAGGCAAAGTTATTGACTGTCTCCTTAATATTAAATCCAATAAATGTTGACTTGTTGCTTGAGTATTGATTGTTTTTAGAGATCAACATCTTAAAGTAAGGGATTACAACACTGATATATAATATTTTCTGTACACAGCAAATAAAGATCTGATCTCCATTGTATTTGGTTTAAATTAAGAAGACAAAGACTACAAACAGATTTAATTTAAAAATACCTTCAGTTAAATTGAAATTTAAAAAAAAAATATGTATCATGACTAATACAAGGGAAGAAAGATAGGATTAATTTTTAATTTTAATTTATGACTCACTTGTGGACATTCCTGGAATAACTGCCTATTATTAAAATAGTCAAGAAAATTCCATCCCACTCAAGGTTTTAAATCA